AGCACTTGTGTTTACTATGTAAGCAATAATGGCCGACAAGTTGTCCTTGTAGCATTACCTGCAGTTTAATTTACCTTCCCCTATGTTTTACAGAACTTATGTTTGAGGCATCCTGGTATGTGACTTTACAAGCACCTGCTAAATATTGATAAATGAATACTTTCTGTTGCCATGGTGAAATGGTAACTTTATATTCACAGTGGTGAGTTCAGTGTGACCCAGATTGTAAAATACAATATTTTTGCCTGCTGTTTGGTGCATTTTAGCATATGTTCATACTTCATCCTAAAATAATTTGTACAACAATTAATGACATTTCTGTGGCAGGCAAGCTCAGTCAGTTGCAGTTAAAGGCTTTGAATGAATTGTGAATCTCTACTTGATCCACGCCCTGATGAACGAACCAACGTTCAGAGATACGGCCACTCGTATAGCGGACTCTACAGCTAATTGGGCACAAACAAGTCATTTTTTCTAAGTGTTTTTAAAGATGCTACCAACTGCCGACCTTGAAGGAACAGGAACTCTGTGTGTGTGTGTCAGGAGACAGTGGATGGCTGCAGTCATGTCTCTTAACAACAGGCGCATTATCACATTTTTCAATTCACTTATATTGTTGTTCTGCTTCTCCACAACAGACAGCTGTCAGAGATGCTATAAAATAAGATTATTAGCAGGATGAGGCACACTTTTAAAGAAAGATTGCTTTTACTGCCTGGGGTCCCATTTTTATAGTTTTATATAATATTCCTGTTAGGTATGATTTACATTTTACTCACTCAAATCCAGTAAGGGAGCAACACAAGGGGCCATTTTATCTAAATTATTTGGAAGTGAAAACAAATCTATATGTTAAAGTTATTATGCAGCCTGGTTGCTGTGAAGGAACACTGTACTTAACTGTAGTTCTGCACAAAAGCAAAGCAAAGCACAAGTTTAATGGACACTTGGGTATGTTCATGGTTTAGTTAACTGGGAGTTTGTTTATAACTTCTTGCTCCCGTGGCTCGCTGGGTCCCCAGATATCAGCACTTAACTGAGTGAGTAAAATGTCCTGTAACAGATGACAGTGAAGTCAAAAAGGATGAAAGGAAGATCCAAGTTGTACAAAAATGCACATTATTGAGAACACCACAGACTTCATGTTATTGTGCCACACTGTCAGTTTCCATGACATTTAATTTTTTCAGTGTTTTCTAATATTGTGTCTGTTTTGCGATGTTTGTTAAATGGTGGTAAAATATGGGTGGCAACAACATGTGAGATTGCAGGGCCATTTTTTTGAAGGGGGCTGCCCATTGTTCTGAAACCCTAATAGTTCAAAAAATGTCCTGTTGTAAAAACAGCCTGTTGTTATAAAATACACACTGGCCCTGGAGTTTCTTGCCCTTAATGTATTTTATTTATTTGACAGGGACAGTGCACAGCTTCTTAGCTGTACTAGCTGTGACGTTGTGAAACAGCCGCAGTTTGATTAGGTTTACGCACCAACACTACTTGGTCAGGGTAAGGAAAAGTAACTACATTAGTTATGTCAGTTAAGTGCATAAGTTAAATTACATTATGTATGTGATGTAAGTTAAATACATTACTTAAGTTATACCATGCTGGTATTTTCAGAGCAACGGGCATTTGTTTTCTGGCTGTCAGACAAATGGACTTTCGATCCAATGGTACATTTTTGGATCTATTGGGGTTTCAGAATAATGCAAGTAAACCTGGCTGCTACCAGGTACTCCTCAAATAAAAGGCCATTGGAGCAATGGCATGGCACTTTTTGAACATGTAGCAGATTGGATTCTTGGTGAAATATACAGAAGATAGGCTGCAATTATTAGTTTAACACTAATAATGGAAGAAATACGTTGTGTTGAAAAGAGATCCCTTTTGTGGGACTGTGTGTAGTTTTTGAGAAGATACGTGTACGTATTCGTATAACGTCTGTTTATTTTTTATATTACTGTACATAGACTCTACAGCATGTGTAGACCTTGTGTATTTCTGTTTATTTGATATGAAATATGTTCTTATGGCTTGCATGAAACCAACTTTGCATATTTGTAACATACATCAATGAATAATAGAAGACAATGTATTTGTGTATTCATGTAATCCACCAGGCCTACCACCGTCATGGCAGCTAAGTGTATGAGAAAAGGCCTTTGCTGGAGATGTTTTATTTTGGAGTGTTGTACTCTGTTTAGGATTGACTGTGAGTTTTTAGAGAAGAGCGAGTCTGTTGGGGTGGACAACAAAACAATTTTTTATAATTTTCTTCTTTTTTTTTAACTGCACAACGAACCCTTTGGTTGCTTTAAAATCAGCCACACATGTTCTTAACTGGAGATGTATTTTTAGCTCATAGGCCTAGAGAAATGGCTGCATCAGTAACTGTTCCAGTCAATCAAATGAATGAAAGCACAATTCTTCTTTCCACTAGAACGTGGTAAGATACATGTGAGTTAGTTAATCCTCAACCCAAGTATTGGCTTCCATTACAAATGGAAACTAACTCTAATCCCCTCAAACAAAAATATTTAACATTTTTGGGGTGTGATTTTGTTACAGAAACTCCAAATTCCTAATTTTTCCTCCACTGTTGATTTGTGAATCTTAATTATTGAGTTGGAGTTGTATCCTGGTAACTTCTGTTTCTGAGCACCATCAAAGTTTATTCGTGCCCTTGGAAACAGCAGTTTAACTTAACTCAAGGTCCACTTGCTGTAATAGCTTTGGCCAATGCTTCAGCTGATGGAGTAAACTCAGGTGTCGTAACATCACAGCGTACCATATGGGCGTGAGATAGTAACCCCTGTCTCTGTTCAGAGACGGTTGGTTTGTTGGGTTGAAAGCTGGGGAAGCTAGTAAGTGGACATTGAGTTAACATTTTGACTACAAATCTATTTCTGTGTTTCAGAACCTCAATCATGTGGTGAGTAAATTTTGGGGCATTAATGGTCACTCTAACAATTAGAGTGTGTTCCTTAAAATAGGTTTGTTTTGTATTACTTTTTAAAAGATCTTCAGTTCATGGTAGCTCTGCCAGTTTTATTTTTCTAGTTTAAAACATTTTGATATTGTACAGTATACAGTATGTATTTGTAATGTATAGAGGATTAAAGGGTTGAATCAGCAAAAGGAATCATGCAGCACCTCATACTAATTTAGAAGGCTTTGAATGAATCATCACCCACAGCACGTTAGCATGTAGCTGTACATGTTGTCCCTGTTTTGCCGTCCTACCTGTCACAGCTTTAAGTTTAGAGACATAACAAAATGCAGAGGTAATCTTTGGAGTCTGACAAACCACACCTTTGGTCTTGCTGATTGTAAAGCTTATTATTTTAGAGGATAAAATCACTATTTAGTATCAGTGCCGGGGGTTTACAGCGTGCGTAGGGCTGGGTAGCGCTCCAAACCTTTAGATACCAGTGCCATCAGATACTTGAGATAAAAACTTTTGTAAGTATATTCTGAAAAAAAAAAAAAATCATGTTCACCTCTTGTAATTCACACATCCAGTGCTGGTGCTGAAAAGAAAATCTAGTAATACTCTTTTTCTGTTGATTTAATATAGTGAGCTCAACTTTGTGATGTGATTACACAATATCTTTCCAACAAAACCAAAAGTGTTTTCATTTCTGTGCCAGAATAGTTTATTACCCACGAGCCTCATTTCTGCATGAAACAGATTGATTTCTATGTGTGTAAAAGTATATATATACATATATATATATATATATCATTTCTAGAACAGTAATAATAACATTTTTCTAACTTTTAATGTGATCAGTTTATATATTGCCACTTTTACAAGTTATCAATTTAAAATGCCATGTATTGTATAGTATCTTGTGGAGACAAGGTAACTAAATGATGCATTATGTACTTTGTTTAAACATCGTTACATTATAAAACTATACCAGCCCATTATTTAAAGTGCTGTTACTCTGACATTACATCACTCTTTTGTAAACACTTGCTATGTCGCAATAAACTGCTCTTGAAGATTGTTATGTATTTTATTGCTAATCAATCAATCGGATGAACAATCCATTCATGACACACGTTGAGAAAATTTATACATGTAAAAAAAACTACTTTCCAATTGCTCTGTGTTTTATATAGTGGGTGATCGCATGACATTTACTATTCTATCTTACAGTTTAGTACATTTAATTATGTGTACAACGGTCCATTTTTTAAAAACTTAGAGATTCCACACATGTATTAAAATAGTCTGCTTGAAACAACAATGGGTGTCTGATATGTTCAAAAAAATGTGTTCATTTCTATAGTTTTTGTGCAGGACACAAGATGTCTCCTTCATTGTATAGTCCATTTTCTGTGTATGTGCACTGGCGGATTCAAGTTTCTACATCACACTATATCTACATCATCATACATAATTCTGCACAGTGAAGCTCAAATTGTAGAACTGGGTTACCATTTGTTCACATTAAAAGACATTTACATTCTGTCAGGTAGTTAAATCTGTAGCAATGTATCATATTTTATACAGTGATCATAGGTTTTGTTTGTAAAGTCTTTATTTGCAAAGTAACTAGCAATTATACCTGTCATATAGTAATATAAAAAGTACAATATAAAAGTACAATATTACTCCCTTTGAGTAGTAGGACATGTGTTAATGTTAACATAGATATTTCATTATATAGTATATATATTTTATATTAAGAAAAAATAAGAAGTACAAGACATATCTCTCATATAGCTTGAATGGGAGGGGGTGCACTGATTGACAGGTAGATAGTGCAATAGAGGACGGGCTTCTGTTTTCACTGTCAAAAAAGGGTGTGGATCGGTGATGATACAAAAATAGCGTTGTAAATACATTTCATCGGTTTAAATCGTCTCCAACAGGCAGCTCGGTTAACCAATGAGACACGTTAAGGGGTCCTTGTTGTGATTTCTCAGCCAATGGGAGTGAATGGAATTACTAGGTGGGCGGGGCTACAACACATCCGTGCCAAGTAGTGCTGTTTGTGAACTCCTCAACAGATGGCGGCGGCGGCGGGGCGTACATCCAGCACAAATCTGACGGGGTGGAGGCTCTGATGGGGGGGAGTCCGGGCCAGCTACCACAGTTGGTTGTCTAATGAGGAACAGGGATAAGGCCTGGTCAGTCTGACCTCATTGAGAATTTCTTGCCTACAGTCTTGGATTTTTCTCTTTTTTCCTCGGTTTTCTACCGGAGGCCGCAGAGACCTCGGGCTAGATTTGTCTCCACACCGATCCGAGTGCGAGAAGACATCCGTGGGGTTGTTTGGAAAGTCCCATGAAATGTGTTTACCAGAATTTGGCGGTTTGAGGTTATAACATGTTTATTTCGTAGAGTAAATAGTGTTTACACGATAGCAAAAAAAAGTGGAATTAATGTGGAGTAGGAAAAAAAAGTTCATGAGAAAAGCTAACTAGTTAGCTACCTAGCAGCGAAACTCTAGCATGTTGAATGAATGAATGAATGAATTTCCGACCACCTGCATTTAACAGCTTCTTGTTACTACAACAAGACGTCGAATATTGCATAAAAGGGCACGTATTTTGTACAACAGAGTGAGCCTGTCTGGCTAACTCTTGTTTTTACTATTCCACTAACGCTACATACCCACAAATGGACAGGAATGCGACTCCTGGGAGTTGGTGGACAGCGGCGATTTAGCACGCAGAGATAGTGTCGTGCTAATACTGACTATAGCCTGGTAATGTTTATGAGACTGGGGGGGAGCTAACTTTAGCTAGCTACAAATATTTGCACTACTCGGACTTGGCTGCGAAAGTGTGAAGCGTACGCCCGGTTTGGGATGGGGAATACGGTGTCATGCTGCGTCTCTCCCGAGTCCAGCCCCAAGCTACCGTCGAGACAACCGGCAGAGCGGCTGGAGGAGCTGCAGACCAGCACCGAAGTGAGCGATGACAACACGGTGCCCTATCTGCAGCATATAAGCGACAGAGAGGTCCCCGATGGTAGGTGTCTGTCTGATACCCTCCACACCTGGGATGGGTTTTCCTTAACTGTGTTTGAGCCCTTGAAGCGTCACACCCAGTGTTGTTTGTTTAAAGGGACGTTTCACCTGAATACACACACACACACACACACAGTGAGGAAGCTCCCTCATATGACCCGCCTTCACTAATATTGACACACAGAGTCAATCTTTAGTGCAACGACATACAGCAACTTGATGGTATAATCTCTTTTTTTACAACAGCAAGGAAATGTACACACAGACACTTTGGCTGTTGCCAAGTTGCCGGACGGGTTTATTGCCATCCTGCTGCCAGCAGTGCGATGATGATGATGATGATGATGATAACATTCTTGGCACTCTTTAGTTGGGCACTGCATCATGTTGATCACACTGGTGTCACATTACCAAGGCAGCCATTAACAATGAAAACAAGCCCCACATCTTTTTGTAAGCCACAGTAACCACTCAGCAATGAGCCATAAAAACAAGCCCTTCATCATTACTGTCATTTTTTCCCCCTACCACACTTGTATTTATTATTGAGTGTGGTTGGGGGGGATTAAGTAGAAATTGAAAGAGACCACGGCATAACCGGAACAACCAATATTTTATTACCAAGTGTGTGTACCTGTGAACAAACTGCATCTTCCGATGTGCTACTCGGTGACATTGATTGGCCATCACCGTGCCCACTGTTACATAGTCAAAGTGTAAATTAAGGCAGGTTTAAGGTTAATTAAGATTAGCGAATTGGCCGTGTCTTCAGAGTTTCTTTTGCACACGCTGTGATCTCCTGCTGTGATACAAACCCCGGATCGACAAAGCAGCTCAGATATTTCTGTGTGATAGCCCTGAGCTCAGTTTTGTACCATCAGTCCTGGCGTCGCCACTCCTCATTGACTCCCAGATATGCACAATGTTCATTCCATTCATGTTGTGGGCTAACGTGTGTGAGTGCAGTTTGGAGAGACCAGCTGCTGGCAGAGCGAGGGTCAGAATGTGTCCAGCAGCCCTTTCTACATTCCCCGTGTCTCTTCTTGCTGTCCTCACTACACAAATGCTGCCATCACTTAATCCCCTGTGCTTTATGTAATGTGCTGCTCTGTTTGCACAGATTTGGATAAAGGACCCAAGTCTCTTAAGTCACGCTTTACCAACCAGTGCAGTCGTTACACTTCTGTCTGTAAAGTATCTTAATGTCCACAAGCAGTTAGCATACTACAGGAGCTACTAATAAGTCTACAATGTAAACTAAGCATACTGGACAGTGTCCAAAAATAAAGTCCTGTTTGTCAGCCAAAACAATGTAATTGTTTACATGCATTTGCCTTAATGTAATAGTATAAGTTTATATTTTGGACAAAAGGCAAATTGGATTTGAAATGAAACTGCCATTGTGAAGGTGAAATTCTGACATTTGAGCCTTTTTATAGGCAGTCCACTGGACAGGCCACAAGTTATCAATTCATCTTGAGTCTTGGTTGGTGGTTGGTGTCGAGTCTTTCACAGTCTCCAGCCTACAGCCATAATCAGACAGCTGATATCGTCCTGCCTGGGAAGGCTCTGCCAAGTGTGTACTGCAGCCGCCTTCACTTCCTGCTCGTCTCTGAGCCTTTTTGTTGTGAGGTCGCTTTCTGCACAAATCCGTTGACTCATGTTTCATTATTTCATCATAATGGATAATGACAATTTACAGAATTCTATCAGTGCGTTGATAGCTATGTCAGCTAAGTGCTTCCTGTTTTCTCCTTTGGCTTCATCCCTACCCAGGACTGGGGGTTGAGCAGCACGCAGAGTGCTTTTGTTGACAGATTGTCATTATAAAGCGCTTACATACACTTCTTGTTTTCTCAGAGCTGGCCCTGGAGTCTAACCCGTCGGACCACGCCCGAGCGAGCACCATCTTCCTCAGCAAGTCCCAGACAGACGGTGAGCAATCCTAACATGACACACACACACACACAGCAGGGATTCACATTAAATGGCTTCCCTAAAATCCATTTGAGGAACAAACACACCTAAACACATGATTTAGTGTATGTAGAATATTAAGAGAGATATGGTTTCAGAAGTTAATTCTGTACTACATTGTTTTTCTGTTGATGCAGTTATCTAATCCTAGGCCATGTTTTTATAGTTGTTGCAGTCCTGACAGTGAGGTTAAAATGTTCATGACCTAATTCACTGTAGAGCTTGATTAAGTTGTGCGCATCACACAGCCACTGGTGCCACAGGCATCTCTAACAATCAAGTCGATAGGTGATTATAACAGGTTCTTTCTATACTTGGACTCTTTTAGATGTCTTTACTTAGCAGTAAGGAAACAGTCACAAAAAATGTAAAAAATCATGTATAATACTTCATTTGAGTCTGTACTTACCTTGTTTTATAAGACAGTGAGTTCAGTACTGAGCACTCTTCAATTCTTCTGGCTGGGCTTTATTGAACATCTTTCTTCCTTTACAGTACGAGACAAGAGGAAAAGCAACCACATAAATCATATCAGTCATGTAAGTGTCAAAATGAAAAAGTTGATTATAAATGTAATTGTGGAATATGTATGCTATATTCTCCTTACTGACCTGGTGGTGAGTTCACACTGTATAATGGGCAGTTAAGGTTTCTCCTCTTAGTAGATATTTTGTGTTTGCATTTAGTATCTCTATATTTGCAAATGTTTGTATCAAATTCAGAATGCCATGCAAGTACTCAGTGTTAATCTAGAATTGTATTGCTGTCAGTGTAGAAAAACCCATGGACCACTATTCAGAAAAGTGGAACCAGTCTAAAGAAACGCAGCCATCAAGACTGACTGTGTGATTTCAATGTCTCAAGGTATCTCCTGGTCCACTGTCAAAGAAATACAGCTCCTGTTCCACAATCTTCATAGACGACAACACCGTCAGCCAGCCAAACCTCAAAAGCACAATCAAATGGTGAGAGCCTTTCACACACACAGAAACACACAGTGCGTGCTGTCCAATAGTCCCTCATTTCACATGGGAAAATCCTGTTACATCACAGCGTGGTAATCCTAAAGTAATACTTGATGGATGCATGACTTAAACAGATGTTCTCATGCCTAATTTAGGACTCCTCTCTAATGACATTATTTTAGTCAATCTGAATCACATTTCACAAGGATTATCTCGTAAAATACTAAGCTGTCAAACACTAACCCACACTTTTTTTTAATTTTCCCTTTTCTTTCTTTCTCCAGTGTCACGTTAGCAATATACTACCACATCAAAAACAGGTAGGTGTACATGTACATTTTTGTGGAACATTATGTCACCAGAACTGGTTTGTGCGTGAAGTATGTTGACAGATGTGTTATGTGTTCTTCAGGGACTCAGACAGGTCACTGGACATCTTTGATGAGAAGTTGCACCCCTTATCAGTGAGTATGTTGATGAGATTTCCTCAAAGTAACAATGAGTTCTGCTCCCATCAGCAAAACAGATGAATGAAAAGTAATTCTTTCAAGCTAGTTTTGATTCATTAAGTCTTTAATTATGAACTAATTAATTATTATTTAGTCCGACCAGTCAGTCGGCCTGAGCAACTTTAAGATGTTGCTTTATTTGCATTTACTTACTTGTTGAATCAACAACTGGAGAACCATGACCATATACCATACACCAAGATAACAAATGAGAAGAGTACAGCCATGTGAGACACAGTGGTGTCCCGATATCAAACTGGGCTCTGTGTGGTGACAGTTGTACCCACTTACAGGGGTCGTTTAAACTGAGATTTTACTGGACTGACCTGGTATTGAGGGCTATCTCCCAAGACCCTGGGAACAGAAAAAATATTAACAGTATTTGTAAGTAGTGCATCATTAAAGTGGATGTGATTCACTGGCTAAAAAAAAAAACAAGAAGGGGAAAAAAAGTAATTTGTCATTCTCTCTTGTGGTCTTTTCTAAGTGGTTTCTATTCAGTTATAGACTTGTGGTAATGAGGCATGAGTGGTGTCTCATTTCACAATGAAGTTGTTTTAAAGCCGACCATAGCTCAATTTTTGGAGGGCCACTCCAAACTGAAGATGACATCGAATAGAGGGCACGGTTAAGAGGAACATTTGGGGCAAACTCAATATCAGTGTTGACAGTCTCACAAGTGCCTTTCACATGAAACAAACATTACTAAATGTCTGCTTGCAACAAGCATGTTTGTGGCCTTGTATATAGAAGGAAAGTTCTGATGTTTTTTCCAGAAATGTGGATATTCTCCCTGTACGGGTTGTGCTGTCTCTGCACTCGCTGCCCCTACAGCTTTATAATTAAACATGATGTTTACATAAATAGTTTCAGACATCAGACATATATCAAGAGAAGAATGGAGAAGCATATCATTCTCGATGAATTCATAACCGTACTTGCTTCGCTCAGACGTGTATGTGTGAACTGTTTATCCCATACAGAGAGAGCCAGTGCCAGACGACTACAACCGTGTAGACCCAGAACACAAACTGATCTACCGCTTCGTCAGAACACTCTTCAGCGCTGCACAGCTCACAGCAGAATGTGCCATTGTCACTCTAGTAAGTCTGTCTCTGTAATACTGGGTAGTACACACTTAATTTGGCTTTAACCAATAGATTGTTAGAATAATGATTTTATTGTTGGAATCCTGGGAATCAATGTAGAGATTAATAGGTTTTAGTTGAGTGCAACATTCTTTTTAGGCCTTTTGGCCCTGCAGAGAATGAAACTCTTAGAGCACCTCTCAGTTTTGCTGGGAAAAGTGCATATTTAATAACACAGAGCTTTGGTATGAGCTACACAGTCTTGAATGACATCAGACACATTTGAGTCTAGAAGATGTTATTGTGGAGGTTTTAGAACCCCATATATAACCCTGTTGAAACCCTGTCTGAAATCTATCAAGACACTGAAACTACATTTGGTAAAGTGTATGGTAGAGAATGTAGTTAGTGGTGGAGTACATGGAAATAAATACTGTGCTATTACTACAAACTAGTCACCAGAGGGCAGTACACTCTTGCAAACTGACATGTCCCAAATAACACAAATGACACTTGTCAGGTGAGTGTCTGTGTTATGATCACACAAAAAAAGCATTTGAGGCTTGGAGTAGACGGATTCTTGGTTGCATTAGAATTGTGATTTTTACGAGACAGATCTCACAGGTTTGAATTTAACATTTCTGTCTTTTTAACACAATTTTACCAAGTGAGGTGCAGAGGCAAAAATGCATTAAAATGTTCTATTTTCAAAATGTTTTTTTTTTTT